TTTATTTAGCAATTTACAGTTTTTCATAAAATCCATTTTTATTTTCAAAGTTTTTACACATTCACAGATTACATTTTCTTATTTTTTATGCATATACACACATGCACCCTCCAGTTCCCTGTCTATCCAGTTCTCACTCCTCCCAAGCCCCCAAACAGGTAGCCACTGTTACTAGTTTCTTGAGTATTCCTCCACAGCTGCTGCTTTTTTTTTTTTTTTTTTTTTTTTGGAAACAGGGTCTTGCTCTGTCACTCAGGCTTGAGTGTAATAGTTCAATCTCAGCTCACTGCAACCTCCTCCTGCTGGGTTCAAGACATTCTCCTGCCTCAGCTTCCCAAGTAGCTGGGATCACAGGCGGGCACCACCACACCTGGCTAATTTTTGTATTTGTAGTAGAGTTGGAGTTTCACTATGTTGGCCAAGCTGGTGTTGAACTTCTGACCTGAAGCGATCCACCTGCCTCGGCCTCCCAAAGTGCTAGGATTGCAGGTGTGAGCTGCTGCACCCGGCCACACAGGTTCTTTGTATGTAAAATAAAATGAATAGATATATATTATTTCCCTCCATTTTCCACAAAAGATAGTAAATGCTACACGTTGTACATTCGGCATTCCTTTTTACTGCCGCAAGGTGTTCCATTGTGTGGATCTGCAAATGTCTGTAACCAGTCTCCTAATGATTACATTTGGGTGGCTTCCAAACTTGGTATCCAAACCACGGTATTGTTTTATAGTGTCTGCAGACGAAATCTTTAACACACCACACCAAGGGAACTCCATTTGTTATTTTGCAAAACGTTGCCAAATTGTCCCCCACAGAGGTTATACAGTGTTTGCATTCTACTAGTAAAGTACAGAAAAAGGGTCCATTTTCCCCAGGCAACTTGTATCAAACATGTATCAAAATCAAACCAATTTTTCCTAATCTCTTAAAGTTTGTTTATTGAAGTACAATTTATATGCAATAAATCCACCCTTTGTACCGTATTCAGTGTAATTTGAATTTGCATGTCTTTCAGTATAAGTATGATGAACTATTTTTATAATCACAGGAAGAGAGATTTTTAAACCCCAAAATGTAATGAATACAACATTTAAATAAGACTACTCAATTTGTACATTCTTATTTCTTTCAAATTCAGCAAATTTCATTCTTTCCTGTATCCTTTGACAAATTCAGAGGATGCGGTGCAATACCAGCTGATTTCTTAAAATGTGTTCCTACCAATTTTGGAGAAGTACAGTAAGACAAATTGACTGTCAAGATGGAAAAGCTTAACTGGGAAGATTACACTTATTGAATAATTGAAAGGAAGAGGAAATGCATTACCGATTAGCCACAAAAATGCCTGACGCCTAACCTATACCTCAAGAGACTCTTGTAAATGGGGAGTCGTAAAACTGTTTCAGCCCCCAAAGTTCTTACCAGCTCAAACTCATCACTGCTTTGTTTTTAGGTTGCAGGACCAAAGCATTGAGGGACTGATTGCTTTCAGGGCTAGCTGAAGTACAGTGTTCCAGCAACTCTTTGTAGCTTTACTAACCCTCTACACTTTAAGTCTGATGTACTTAAATATTTTAACTGAATCCTGGATTTATCATTACCTGCTGTGCTTTGCGACTTGCTTTTTAGGAGGCAGCATAGTATAGACTGCAGAAAAGGTAGTTGGTGTTGGCAGAGCTAGGACTGGAACTCAAGCCTTCTGGTTTACAAAACAAGGACGTGACTTCCAGCAAGCAAATTCCTTCCCTTCTCTGGGCATATTCCCTATCTGGTCAGAATGTTAGATTAGATCCTGCTACTCAAAATGTGGTCGACGCATCAGCAGCCTCAGCCTTGCCTAGAAGATCCTCAGAAAGGCGGAATCTGGAGCCCCATCCCGAGCTGTGGAATCTGGATGACAATTCTAATCAGATGTTCAGGTGATTTGAACGTGCATTAAAGTTAAAGGAGTGCCGTACAGATTTGCAGGGTTCCCTGGAGAGGTTTGGGTCTTCCTTTCATCTGTGGTAGCTTGTTGGAGGTGGTGGTGACGGCCACAGCCTTGGCACCACTCCCTCATGTTCTAGCTGTGGTTAGGTTGAGATTGAGATAGTGAGGCAACAGAGGAGACAAGAAAGTCCACTCGAGGGCCTTGGACAGCGAGCCCAAGCCTGCAGGATGCCATCTGCAAGTTTGGCTGTGTTGTCCAAATTCTTGAGGCTCATTCAAGAACAAGGGGGTAAACAGAGTCAAGCTAGATATCTGTAGTACTTCTTTATGTGTCTCTGATGTGCCTCCTTACCAGCATAAGTGAGTGCAAGTGATATCCTCTGAGTGGTGTCCTTTGGAAAAGGAAGCTTTCTTTCATTTGAGGGAGAAACTTTGGACAGTGATTTTTGGAGGGAATTTGAATGTATACTTACCAAGATAGAAAGTATTTATTGATTTCTTCACCAGCCCAGTCTGGAGAGAACAGAGTAATACAAAAAGATTTTTAAAAAGTGTTTCTGCCATTGTACCAAGCATAAAAATGCTAAATTAGCTGTCAGCGTGAGAAGAGTCCTGCTCAGATACTTAGAACTTCTCGTTGAATGAAACCCCTCCTCTGTTTTCTGCTGTTAGGATTTCTGGGCTGTTGTTACTTTCTGTCCCAGACCTGACTCACAGGCCTGGATCATACATATGAAGCATGTGATTTTTCAGTGCCTTTGATATTAGCTTGCTATGGGAAAATCCTGTGAAAGAAAAATATGGGAAATTTTGTGAAGACACAGAGCCGGATCCCTAACTGTGACATCGCTGAATAAAGGGCCTTCCTTCCTCATTGGATCCGGGAGCTTTGCTAGCTGGATAGGGCCTATCCACAGCAAGGGCTTGGGGTGCTCCTTCAGCCCTAAAGTTAGAAAGGAAGGTTTTGAGAAGCCTTTCAATTTCAGCGTTATCCTGAGCAAAAATCTTCCCAGAAAGGTTGGTAAGACAGCACTGGACAGAAATGTGTGTTGGAAGTCTGGAGTTCCTTTTCATCAGCGCTTTACCAAGTGCTCGGTCTTTTCATACCTCTGAAGCATGTGAAGAAGGCAGCTTTCTTCCAATCTTGGTGTTGTTGTTCCAGGCTGTTTGTAGAGATTTGATGATAGCCAAGTTCCTGTTAGCCAAAAATGTGCTTTGTTTATAAACCCAAGTTTTGTTTTTGCTTTTGTGCATGTTATCGGTTTGATCTGTGTTACCAAAAGAACATTGAAAATAATGAATTGCTTTGATGATAATTCCAAGGAATAATGGCAAACAAGTGTGTATATACAACAATACAAAAACAGAAATATGTAAGCTGGGCACAGTGGCAGGCCCCTCTAATCCTGGCTACCCAGGAGGCTGAGGCAGGATGAACCCGTGGGCCCAGGAGTTGGAGCTGTAGTATGCTGTGATCACACATGTGAATGTCCAGTGCAGTCCAGCCTAAACAACCTGGGGTGACCACCTGTAAAACAAAAAACAGACAGAAAACCCCAGAAATACACAGAACCAACACGAATACCACATGCTTTTCCCCATTTGATACAATGAGGTAAGAGGAGAAAGTTAACGCCCAGGGTAGTTCATTTAAGAATGCCTGAAAAGCACTGTCAAAGGATGTTGTCATCTATTCTTTTTCTCTTTTGAAACTGTGTAGTAATAAAAGGATGCATCTTTTTAGCACAAAAATGTGGGAAGGATAATTTTCCCCTAGCTGTATACAAAAGTACTTACTCCCAAATGGGGCCATTCTTTTCTATTGAATGCCCTATTGGTCTTTCGTTATTCTGGTTTGAGATTTGTATGGAGCTTGGCTTATGGGGTAATCAGATAAGCCATTCTACTAAACGTGGCCCTTAGATCTTTTGACCTTTGGAGGGAGTATATCTTTTACATCCATACAGGAGCAGCTATTTTCTGTATTTCTTTCACAAGTGTAGAATTTCCCTTAAATTTAATATCCAAGCTTATTCTCAACGTCCAGCACCCCTTTAACTTAGTTGCGTGTCGACCCCCGTGTGGTCCAAGGGGACTTTCTTAAAAGCTCTAGCAAGTGTAGTTGACGGGAAACTTTATTTCAGTTCCCGTTTGTACCTTTGATCGCAGATGTTGCTGGGATCAGGTGATGGGCATTAAGAGACCTGCCTTTTGACTTGGAAGTTCAGCACTTGGTCAACCAAAAATTATCTGTAAATGTGAAGTGTGTCCCGTTGGTCAAAGTGGAAAGTGGGGAGGAAGGGAAGGCCAAGGAAAAACATCCGTGTGATGTTAAATAATGTTTGACTCATTTGCTATTGAAAACACTTTCTTTTGTGTATTCAACAAATGTATTTGTTTTAAAAGGGAAAAATCAACTTGTCAACTATTGTTTCTTAATTGTGATGCCATAAAAGACTTCCTGGAGGTTAAGGAAAACATTCATTTTCAGAATGTAGTCTAGGCTGCTGTTTTTTCTTTTATAGAGACGGAATCTCGAATCTCGCTAGGTTGCCCAGGGTGCTCTTGAACTCGTGGGCTCAAGCGATCCTTTTACCTCAGCCTCCCGAGTAGCTTGGACTGTAGCACACACCTGGCTAATTTTTTTTGGAGAGTCAGGGTCGTGCTATGTTGCCCAGACTGGTCTCGAACTCCTGGGCTCAAGCAATCCTCCCAGCTGGGCCTCTCAAAGTGTTGAGATTACAGGTGTGAGCCCCCATGCCTGGCGCTAGGCTGCCTTCTTGAATGCAGTCTCCTCTGGCCGGTTGGCCTTTCTCTCCCCTCCCACATCCCCAGGGGCATTGCTCTCCATGGGCAAAGGCTGTTCCTGCATCTTTCTCTGTCCACCATTGACCCATTTGCTGTGGGCACATACCGCTGCACGTGGTGGAGACAAGGACCCAAGCGAGGAGGGTTGGTGCCAGGTCCGGCTGCTGGAGCTGTGTGATAGCTTTGGAGTTTGCTTTCCCTCATTACCCTACACTCACATGTGGTTGCCTGTGGTTTTGTCTTTGCTCTCTCCCATGCAGATCCGGAGTTAGGTGTTGGCACGCTACCAGAACATGACAGCCAGGATGCAGGGCCGATTGTCCCCAAGATATCGGGTCTAGAGAGAAGCCAGGAGAAGAGCCAGGACTGTTGCAAAGAGCCGATCTTTGAGCCTGTGGTGCTTAAAGACCCCTGCCCTCAGGTCGCACAGCCGATACCCCAGCCCCAGACGGAGCCCCAACTCCGAGCTCCTTCTCCAGACCCTGACTTGGTGCAGCGCACAGAGGCCCCACCTCAGCCCCCACCTCCGATTACACAGCCACCACAGGGCCCTCCTGAGGCCCAGCTCCAGCCCACCCCGCAGCCTCAGGTGCAGAGGCCACCCAGGCCACAGTCCCCCACCCAGCTGCTCCATCAGAACCTCCCACCTGTGCAGGCCCACCCCTCCGCTCAGAGCCTCTCCCAGCCATTGTCAGCCTACAACAGCAGTAGCTTAAGCCTCAACAGTTTAAGGTGAGTGGCCTGCTCTTCTTTGGCCTGAGTTTTGCCCTCTCCCTGGGGATCAGGTGGGTGGGACTCAGGGAGGGATCCCTAGGGGGACTGAAGTTTCCTTGTTGGAAACATCATCCCTTTCTCTGAGACTAGAGACAGGGAATGGGGCTGTTGGGTGAGACTCGGGTCTCTTGGGAAAGGACAGGTTGGGATGGGTGGGTGGCGAGGACATTGTAAGGAAGGAAAATATTTTAGGCACTCAAGAGAGCGGAGGCGGAAGGTGAGGAAGGCTTGGAAAGTCCTGGGCCAGGGAGACCCAGCAGCAGTGGGAGGCAGGGAATCAAAGCCTGGGGCATATCAGAGGCCACGCAGTGTGAGCAGATCCTTTCAAGGCAGGCTCTTGCAAACTCTGACAGAAGAAGTATTGAAGAAAACTTGTCTCCCTGCAGTTCCAAAGGCAGGAAGATTGGGAGCCAATGAGTATTCCAGTTTAAAGATTTTTTTTTTTTTGCGGGGGGGTTCTGATTTACTTCCTCCTATGTGGGTCAGAGAAGTAGGGAAGAAAGAAAACAAGCTGCGTTTAGAGAAAGTGAGAAATTTCTGTATGGAAATCCAGGCTCTCCTCGGTCTTGTTTTTGCCAAGTTACAAAGAAACGTCTAAAAAGCAGCACAGAGGAACACAGCAAAGAAAAGAGAGGCAGAAACCCAGTGTGCAGCGCCAAGTGGGGCCAACCCTTGGTGCCCTGGGGGCTATAATTCTAACCCGGCACAGCTCCTGAGGCTGTGTGTCTTTGTTACTGTTTTCTTTTTGAAAACCTGGAGGCTTTGGTGGTTCCGGGCCTTGCTTTTTCCTAAGAGGCGACGGCACAGTCTTTGGGAGGCAGGTTTCTTCCCCAAGGAGCCAGGCCCGGCTTCTGACCCCTCGGCCGTTTCTGTGGTCTCCAGACCATAAAGTGATGTGAGAACCCAGGCACCTGGGTTTCACCTCTTCTTTGTGTGTCTTCATTTAAGAGGTAACAAGACAGATGGGGTGAACTCAGATCATCGCGTTTTTTATTCCTTTGTGTTAACTGTTACTTTATAGGAGATATAGCTAGTGGAGAATGGAAGGCTGGGGATTTTCTAGGGGCAGAGATGAGAATCTGGCCACAGGAGCGAGAGAGGCCCTGAGGTTTAGGCAGAATGAGCTGTCTCGACATCAAGATGCCCCACAGCCCTGAAGGAGCAGTTTCGGTTTGCTCTGTCTGCAGTAACGATGGGAAAGTTTGCAGGAGTTGTAATTTCAGAAAGTGTGTGCATACAGGGAGGATCTGTAAAGAGGAAGGGGCAAGAGAGACTGTGGTGAGGGTTTAGGGGAAGGAGACAGGATTCTTTAAAAGCGAATACATTGCTTACCTTTTTTTATTTTTTTCTTTTCTGTTTTTTCTTGCTCCGATAGCAGTAGCAGAAGCAGCACTCCAGCAAAGACTCAGCCCGCCCCTCCTCACATCTCCCACCACCCCTCTGCCTCCCCATTCCCCCTCTCCCTGCCCAACCACAGCCCCCTGCACAGCTTCACACCCACCCTCCAGCCCCCCGCACACTCACATCACCCCAATATGTTTGCCCCTCCCACTGCTCTGCCTCCTCCACCACCACTGACATCAGGAAGTCTGCAGGTGGCCGGACACCCTGCCGGGAGCACTTACTCAGGTAGGATGGAGGGGCCTGTGCTCATGACCCCGACACCCACCACCCCTGGCTGTGACCTCACCCTACCTATGTTGTCCTGATTGGAAGGTTGCATTTGCCTACAATTTTTTCCTTCCTTACTCTAATCTTCCTCAAACGCTTTCTGGCCTGAGGTCCAGCAAAAATACCTGTCAGCACCCATACTAAGCTTAGCTCAGCCGCTGTGAACCTGACACTGCCTAAAGAGAGGAGGTTTGTTTGGAGTTAGGAGGCATTTCCAGCTAAATTCAGCCACTGAGTGGTCAGACGCAGGTAGCGTGTGTCCTGTGTCGTCTGGGCTCTCCTGAGAGCGATGGAAACGTCCCCAAGCCCATGTCTGTTTCGCTCCAGGATCTTAGATTGCGTCCTGGTTTAAGGGGTTTCTTTTCACTGGGCAGGGCCTTCTCTGGTCTCCTTGGGAGGAGATGACACACTCTTTGTGACAATATATCCCAGAATTTTAAGGGCAGACCTCGTGTTAGACACAGGGTCCTTGTCTCCTCACCTGTGTTAATCAGGTCAAGTGTCCCAGTTCTGGTCCAGTGTAGCCATGGTATGCTGCTAATACAGAGAGCCATATAGCAGTAATTGACACTTGAAGAGGGCATGCGAGCCCTGCCATGTGAACAGCTGACATTTATTAGTGTGCTGTCACTGTTTCCAAGCACTTAAATGTGCAAATTGCTTTAACCCTCAAAAATCAAACCCATGAGTTAGGCAGTATTATTGTCCCCCTCTTGAAGAGGGGAAAACTGGCCCTCAGATGGGTTATTTGCCCTGCCCAGGGTCACTCAGCTGGTGGTGACAGCTGGAAATCGGACTCTGGCGTTTGGCCTGGAGCTTTTCCCCAAATCGATAGACTGCCTGTCCCTGAAAGCTGGGAGACCAGCTAGAGAACAGGGAGACAGGGTGCGACTGGGCCTTGGTCTCCTCTGCTTCATTGATTGCCCCCTTTTATCTCAGGGCCCAGCCGCACCCTGTCACCCCTGCCACTGTGTCATCAGCCCCGTATCCCTCCACAGGAAGGCACTCCGATGTCCTGTTCTGAAGGAAAAGGTGTCATCGTCTCCCTCTTCTTCTCTTCCAGAGCAAGACATCTTGCGACAGGAACTGAACACTCGTTTTTTGGCCTCTCAGAGTGCTGACCGCGGGGCTTCGCTGGGCCCTCCGCCCTACCTGCGGACCGAGTTCCATCAGCACCAGCACCAGCACCAGCACACCCACCAGCACACGCACCAGCACACCTTCACGCCGTTCCCCCACGCCATCCCGCCCACCGCCATCATGCCGACGCCAGCACCTCCCATGGTGCGTACCCCAGGCAGAAATGTGAGGATAAGTAGAGCACGACTCTTTTCTTTATGCAGCACGTGGGACCGGGCTGGGCAGCGGGGCCACCAGAGATCGAATGGGGAGTGACGGCTGTTTGCTGGAGAGAAGGGAATGTGTCCTAGTGCCCTGCCTCAGGCAGCTCTGACTTCAGGGGCCTATAGTAGGAACTTCTTTCTGGGCAGTAGTATCCAGCACTGCCGGTGGAAATGATTCCATCTGCCCTCAAAACAGTCGTGCCCAGTGTTGATGGCTAACTTCTTAAAGGGTTGTTTTGTTTTTTTAAGCATCCCAGGGGACTGTCACCAGACAGAAAATGCACCTGCTTGTGCTTTGCACCAAGTGCTAGCACATACATTCTTGCAGGGTAATGGGGATGAAGAAGAGAAGGGAGAGAGACCTCGGCCAGGAGGCTGGGACTGCGTTGGGTGCCACGTCCACCTGCGCATTTCGATGGCTTCCTTAAACCCACTTTGTTGGAGGTGTTATATTTCTTGTGTTTCCTAAGACAGTCCCTAATCTGTTATTGTGCTCTGTCCGCAAGTGTTCAGGGATCCCTGCAGGGACAGAATTCTCTGCCTTCGGGCAAGAGGAACCACTGGCCATGACATGGTCTTGGTCTTCACTGGGGCCTAGCACATGTCCAGAACCAGTTAGGAATTTCTTTTTTAAAACTGAATAACCATAATTAATAGTGCCATATTAGAATGGTAAATATTCTCAGATAGAGTCCTGTCTAACAGTGAGTATTAGAGTCATTTTTTACTTAATTTTTAGTATTTCAGAAAATACTGGATTTTAAGGTCGTCACTATAGGCATTATGAGAATAAATTGCATGATTTTAAAAGGAGTCCACTTCACCCAAGTTTGCTTCCTCTCCTTCCTCTCCCTCCCCCATCTTATTCAACTTACTTTTTAAAAATATGTTTTTAAAGTTTGTTTTATAAATTTCATTTCAAGGAATATTAGCAATGAGGCCTTGTGACCAGAAATATGTTTTTAATAGCAAATCCTGTATCTCTTTTTTGGATGAACTATACTTCTCAACAATTAGATTTTGAAGATCCTAAGACTTTGAGAAAGGTTTCTGCTGGCCTGTGTGAGCTGTTTCACAAATTAATTTAACCAAGGGTAGTTATGGCATCAATATGATGACATTATTTAGAGGGGACAATAGTATACTCTTTTTCTGTTCAAATGAAAGGCTGTCTGGCCTACCCCAGATCACTTTGTATTTGGGTGTCATACATTTCAGAAGACAGCTGCATGGCAAGACAGTTTTTCTGCCAAAGTAAAGATGAAAATAGGGGGATTTCACTGGGTAAATCAGACCAAATGCTCACCTCTCTCTGATTTATCTGGATAATTGCCTATTCTCTCCTGTTTAGATGTTTGGTTCGTGCGAATCTGTAGAAAGAAAATAGTAGGAAGAAAGGCATCCTAGTATGTGCAGAACCCAAATGTACCACTTGGTTTTTCACTTTATTCTTCCATTTTTGTTGTCTTCTTGTCAGGGAGACTCAGGAGCTCAGAATGGTTTCATATATAATGAGGTTATTGGGTCTGATGACAGCTTAATGACAGGGAAGCTTTGTAGGGCCACCTCCACTGTAGCAGTGAACAAAAATGCAGATTAAGTAACTAGCTTTTGCTTTGATCCCTTTACAGTTTGACAAATACCCTACAAAAGTTGACCCATTCTACCGGCACAGTGTGAGTTTCATTACCATGCTACACATTGAATGTAACTGCTTTGCCATTTTTGTGCTGTTGCCACAGATCAGTCAATGACTAGCAGCCTTCCTTAATCATCTTTGCAAGAGTTCCCATTGCTCCTTGCCACGTTGGATGCTTGCTTTTGTGGTGTTTTGCTTTTGGTAAAGATGCAGTATCATCTTCTGAATCAAAAGATCATAAGCACTCGGAAGGCTTGAAAGCAGAGTTGCTCTTTAGTGGCAGTCAGGCATCTGTCCTGCAAAGTGAGGTGTCTGCAGTGGAGTCAGCAGAGTTCCAGGAGAGTCCGAAATCACAGCATTTCAGTTGTCAGTTGAAATGTCACTAACACAGAAGTCCTGGAATGCAACCTGAATTATGTCCTCTAAATAGAAAGTCCCTTGTCTTTTTGACTCATGACTCTTCAACGAGTAGATTTTCATTTGCTCTAGACTAAATGTAGAACCCTCTTCCACATGGCTGGTATTGTTCTGTTGAGTTTGTTGCAGTGGAAAGTAAAAATATCACTTAATTAAAATAAACTCCCAAAATTGAAATGAGTGATATTTTCTCTTTAAACTCATTCTCCTTTATTAAAAAAAAAAAAACACAAAAACAAACAAACAAAAAAAAAAACCTTGTTTTATGCAATTTTAAGAGTACGTTCTGGAACTTCAACTGATAACACCCTAAGTTATATGTTCAGTTAACTTGTAAGACAAGAGCTTATTTTTATTCAAAGACCTTGAATATTTCCATGATATTTTGATGATGGGGTGAATACTGCATCATTTTTATCTGAAAATTTGCAAGTTTCTTTGCCAGTGATTTTTTTTTTTTTAATGAAACCAGAAAAAAGAGAAGGTTAATCATTGCTTGTAGCCATGTTGATTCACCATACTCAACTGTTCTTGCTTAGGTTTGTAGGTAGTGTTATCTTAACCATTTGAGTAGAAGTGCTACTTTAATAGGTCAGCAAAGACTGAATTCATTCATACTCTGAACCAGATAATTAGATACCATGTTAGTCAAGAGTACAGCTGAGAAGTCAAGACTAGTAAATATTAGAAATCAATTGAGAATTATGTACTCTAGGGGCATTCAGAAATAACATAAGATGAAAGACCTCTTTAAAAAGAAGTTAGAAAAGTGTATTTGATGACTCCTCCCCATCCCTCCCAACATGGTCCCCTCCTGTTCTGCTCAGTACTGGGATACAAAAACATATTTCACGGGGACACCCAAAGCCCAGTAGACCTATGGATTTCCTCTTTGGGTCTGGCCCATGGATGGCACCATTATGCCCCTAGTCTATACTTTGCTGATTTAAAGTAAGGACCAGCTAACACAATAATTCATATAGAAAGTTCAACGTGCCCAACAAGTGGCTCAGATTTACTTTCTAGGATCCACTGCGGTGCCTTCTCATATGTATATTCTACAGTCCTAGGCCGAAGATGGAGAATAAGCCTGGAGGCCTGAATTTTTGGAAAGTGTATGTATTATTAGGTACTTCAGGTTTTTAGTCAGGGGGAGGAATGGTCAGCTATATTTATGTTCTAAGAGGTCAGTAATGGAATAAAACAAAAAGAAAGTGGTAAGAACATCCAATTTTTAAATTGTAAACTTAAAGGGAAAATGCCCACCTGGAGGCAGAGTACTAGAGATCTCAGTGTGTTTTACTGTGGCATGTATTTAATTACTCAGCTTTATTCAGTGTATTGTGGGAGAGTTATTTCATATTAGGAGTTATAGTGGATAATATATGAAGTACTCAGTCTCCCCTGATTTGGGGATTAGGACATTATAAGGGGAGTTAAGATGCAATGCACTCAAGTATCTAAAACACAATTTTAGACTTAAAAGTAGTTTTAAATGAGGGCACTTGGCTTGCAATCACTATTTAAGTGGATTTAGTTCAATATCAATTAGTCTGAAAAACTTTGCCGCATCATTGAAGGGAGCAAAATGAAATAAAGACCAACAGAAAAAGGACGTGCTCTGAAAATGGGATTGCAAAATGTGAATTACCAAAAATAACTGACACAAATACTTTACGAAGAAGAGCTTCAATTACTGTTGTAATTTTGACATAATAAACAACCACGAGGGTGGGGCATTATTTAAAATATTTGTATGGTGGCTTGATCACAGTAAATGGAACCAGACCAATAGGACCTCAAAAAGATTAAATTTTTAGAAGGAGGGAAAGATGTGTTTGCATTGCCTTCTCTCTGTATGTCTTTCCTCAATTGTGTCCTTTTATAGACTGTTGATTGAGGAAAATTCATAGTCTTCGTTCAGACTCATTCTGTTACCATCATAGAGTGGACTCCTACGTGAAGGGCTTGGCTTGAGTATCCTCCAAAGAGCTTGTTCATTTAATAGCAGAAACCGTTCAGAAGTGGCCATAAAAATTCAGATTTCATATGTTCATACAGAAGTGCTTTGAGCACCTAAGACTTAAGAGCAAGTGAAAGCTCGATAGTGATATTCCAGACTCGGGTTATTTCTGTGCAACTAGAATCCATCTTCTAGGCCAATTGGCAGCTCCGTTTAAAGTATACATCGAGTCGTTTTATTTTACCCTTTCACACATATTTGTCATTATTTTAGATGAGAGAATTAAATTGTCCTCTGGAACTGCCACTTCTACAACAGCCTAATGAAGCAAGGATTGTGAATATGTTCTCATTTCCTCACACTATTAAAAGTCTAAAAGTACTAATCGAGTTTTAATGGTATAAAATCCTGGCACTCATGAAGACTTCTTTTTCTTCCCTTTTTTTTTTCCTTTTTTCTGCCTTTCCCCCCCCCCCCCCTAATTAACTTGTAATTTTCTGGGCATCTTATTTGGCTCAGAGTCCCTCCTGTTTTTGAAACGCATTAAAAACTCCAATCATTTAGGACTTCTGATTTAACAATTAATAATTAGAAAAGCTCCCTTTCTAATGATGCCCTCACCCAGGACGTCATTTGCTGGCTGATTGATCCTGAACTACTTTTAACTTTTGAAGTGACACATTCATGGCACATCTGTGTGATCATCCCATCATGGCTTCTTGACTAATAGCATCAAACTGAGATTACTTGGCTTGCTCATGTCGATGTCTTTCTATGGGACGGGAATTTGAATATGTCACTTGCCTCCTACTAAAATCTTTTTTCCCCCTCTCCGTCTTTGGCCACAGCTCTTCCATTCCTATCCTCCTGCAGTGTCGGGCATCCCCCCTATGATCCCGCCCACTGGCCCTTTTGGTTCACTACAAGGAGCATTTCAGCCGAAGGTAAGAAACCTCACAGTGAAAACACACAGGCATGTGTCTAAGTGGCGTCCCGCGGCCGGGCGTGCAGGAAGTTCTGCGTCCTCTTGCCTGCGCAGTGACTCATTAATCAGGTCCTAAGTGACCACTGGGATTAGAGTGAGCCTTTTTTTTTTTTTTTTTCCCGAGTCCATCTGGTTTTAAATGGCCATGAAAATTCAATTTTCAAACTGTACTACCCACGTAATCTCAGTTAAGCTAAGATTTCTTGTGCTCTTCAAAATATACATTATATTTATTTTTTTTACTACCAATATCGTGGACATAGCTTCTGGTCAGGAATTCTATGCCGTATCAGACACATGTGTGCCAGGTTGTTCAGATATATGTAATCAGTAAAGACACAAAGCTGGGTCCTTATTGATTTTAGTAGAAGTGGGGATAAAGGCTTCAGGTATATGTAATTAGTAAAGACAAAGCTGAGTCCTTATTTACTTCAGTAGAAGTGGGGATCAAGGTCCCACAACTAAAATTGTGTCCTATGAATTCTTCTCTCATTCTCCCTCATTTCTCTCGCCAACCCCATCGGCTGCTAACAGGGTCTGCCCGCAGGTGAGGTGGTCGCCTACCATTTTGATCCTCCTTTCTTTCTTCCGCTCTCTCTCTCAGCCATCCCACCCCTGCCATGGTTACACTGGCCAAGGCCAAGACTTTGTCATCAGTTACTAACATCCTAGTGTGAAATTAACCTTTCATCCTTGATAACAGTTAAATTCTATTCCACCTAGTCAGTGATAATGCTGTCCAACGTTGGCTACAGCTGTCTGTAAAGGTCAATATTGAAGAGTCATTCTGGAAACACTATCTTTTTAAATATACTTACAGTTTCTATTTTACTTTCACACAAAAATAAAAAGAGTCATACTTTCGTGTGGTTAACCATTCTCAGACTTGAAGATATTTTGCTGTGTGTCATTGAGTTTTCCTCTTTTGGAATTTCCCCCCATCTCATTTCTAAGGGAAAACACAGTTTTGGGCCAGAGTCTTCCAGAATAAGCATGTAACTGCATTTCCAAAGAGGTGTTGCATTAAAACTAGGGACAGGAAAAGAATTAAAAGGCATTAGAGGTGGGGTCCCCTCCTTCAAAATCACCTGCATTGAATTGCATTGAATTCAGTTCATCTATTGAATTTGCCGCCATTGAATTGCAGCCTATATGCAAGGTTACTGATACACTGGGCTTTTATGACGGCCTCGTTAAACACCTCCTATCTGGAGATAAAATGATGGTGATTTTAAACTCCTTCCCCCAGTCCGCACTTTACTACTTCCTCAGACCTGGGCCTGTCCCCTCTAGGTTGCACCAAATCTCTGGGGCCTCCCCAAGCAGACTGGTAGGTCATTTAATAAATTAGACTATGTCCCTCACTCACAATTATCCAATCACACAGAAAACTACATCTGGGCAAGAAAGTGTCTCTCCTGGTGTTGAAATAGGCCTTTCCAGGCCATCGTCCTGATTGAATATGTAGATTGCAGTTCATTAGTGGAGTTCTTCATATGTATGCAAATCAGGCTGTTAACAACTCCAGCTTAATTGTTAGTTGTACTGCAGCTGATTGCTTTTCTTTCTTTCATTCTTTATTCCCCCCTTCTCCTTGTAGGCAAGCTTCGTGCCTAAACTTGAGCTCTTTTTCCCGACAAGTTTAATATCCTGGCATGGGGGGTGTTCATAGAAGTTCTGATTTCTTCAATAAAATAACTGGTGGTGTCTCCTGAATCCTTTCCCACTAGAAAGCAGTGATTGTGCCCAAAGTAGGCTTTGTATTGTTGCTTATTCAAAAGACAGAAGCTCACAGATAAGGTTAATATTAGTAATATTTGAGAATGTTGGTGGGAATAGGTAAGAGCAAGCAGAATTGCTTTAGAAATCATCGAAGAGCAGATCTGCAAGGTCCCTAAATTAGGTTCTCTTGTCCCATTTCCACCACTGCTAATGAGTAATTACTGAGTGTAATTCCTTGTTATTGTCTACCAGTTAAAACTGAGAGCTTAATGTCTGTACTTTCAGTTATTCTGATGAGAAACACCTGATCCTGCCAATTATAATAATGTTCACTTAAGCATTTCTTGGAATGTTTGGTGATTAAAAAAAAAAGAAAAACACCAATGGCAGTCCCTGCCATGGGTTCATTCGGAGGAAGAGGAGTTCCAGGACAGCATTTACGTTTGTTGCTTCTCTTTTTTGGTCCTGTGCTTTTTATTGCAGTGAAATGTTCTGGGGACCTCTCTCTGCTTTTAGATGCCATTGCTGGAGAGAGCAAGCTGTGGTCAGGCCCCCTTGAGAAAGAGCATGTGTGGTCCTTGAGAAAAATGAATCTTGCATTTCAGAAGGAAACAAACAAATGAAGTTTGGCTTCTCTCCTTTAGGAGGAGGGAAGGATCTTGCTTTCGTGTCACCTGTTTTGTGCTTCCTAAGTAAGCTGTGGTCTAATTAATTTGTAGACATCCAACCCTATCGATGTCGCTGCTCGGCCTGGGACAGTCCCACACACTTTACTACAAAAGGACCCGAGGGTACGTGCAAAGTCAGGCTTGGTCTCAGGTAACGCCAGGGGGTGTGTGTTTGCACGGGACGGCCAGCCCAGTGCTCGCATCTTCCGTAGCTCCTTTGAGCGAGCTGCTGTTTCAGCTGTTCTTCCAGTTTGTGGAAGAAAATGCCAATGACTCTTAGAAAACAGTCTCTCCTGCTCACTGCGCGCGTAGGACACAAAGAGACCGACTTGCCAATGGGAGAAAAGAGGAATGAGTTATGGTCTGAGCCCAGAAATTGGACAGTGTCAGCTTGTATAGTTTTTACTTAACCCATCTTCTCTTTCTATGGTCTCCGTAAATTGTCTTACACAAATGAAGTAGCTACAGAAGGTTTTGAATGGAAAAGCACTAAGGTGCTATTCTTCCTGGAAGTCAGGCTACACATCCCCCCCTTGCCTGGGGTCAGGAAGTTATTGTACTGCACGGCTCTTTGGCCCTCTATTTTTAATGTGCTAGGGATCCTTTTGTACTCTAGAGCTAAATAAAATATCCATTATGCTTTGGTTATGTTGTTTATTCATAATTTATTACCACTGCCTGCTTCCAAAAAAGGAATTTGAAGTTATACGATAGAAATAATCTTGCCTCATTGATTGTTATTTATAGTCATTTTATACGAAATATGAAAACATCTTTAACAATATTGTCTTTTTACCTACATAAGGGCAGTCAGAAATTGATAACCAGAGTTAGATAGAAGTTTAAAATGACTCAACTATGTAAGTATGTCATGATGTGTAGTGAACTTCTGGAAAATGTCTAATAGCTATAAATAATGTAAAGTCATCAATGTAAAGGTATTGGTAAAGACAGCCTAATTCTCCTGGATGGATGGAAAGGACACCTCTCCCCGGATACCAGTTAGTAGACAGCTGTAAAAGCCTGGGGTCTGAAGGCCATTCTGCCTCAGACCTACCCAGTGTGGTTGGAGCTCAAAACAGTGAAACTCCTGGTGTGTGATGTGAGCAAATCACATTGCCAGAGGGCACATTGCTATTGATTAAACTTGTACAGGGGCTTGTCAGCGTAGATGTACCAAGGCTTGTGAAGTGGGGGAGGGGACACTTGGCACTTTTGATAGTGTGAAAATGGGTTAATTATTCTCTAAAAGGACTTCATTTAAAAGTAAAATTCTAACATTTTAATTTCCCCTCCTAATGAAGCACTACAAATTTGTTAATTAGAGCAATTGTTTGAGTGACAGGCATGTAACCAAGTTGTCATTTTCTCTTCACAGTTGACAGATCCTTTCAGACCTATGTTAAGGGTAAGAAAGCTTCTTATAGAACTGTTTTGCAACCTCTATTTGACTCCCTGTGGGTTAAAAATACAAGTCTATTACAAGGAAATAAGCCATAGAAATGTTGGAATAAGACATCGGAATGATGGTGATTGGGTTTTTCAGGTAGTGTGATTGAAAATGGCCTAAATCGTTTTGCTTTGACCGTTGGAGGCCATTGGCTTTTTTCTGTCTACAACAGAGAAAAGTCAACTGAGTCTGATCTCTTCTTAGCAGTTCTGGAAAAAGGTTTGACTAGTTGGAACTTAAGGGGAAAGAAGCTGTAGGCTGAAGTTAGTCTCTCTCGCACTTAGAAAATATGTAGCTGGGTCTGTTTATTTTGGCTGGTGGCTCCCTCTTTCTGTACTAAGTGGCATTGACTTGCCATAGCCGTTTGACCTCCTTTTAAGGTGCAGGAAGGAGATACTATAAGCAGTTGGTTTCTTAACATCTTGCTTAAAGCAAATTGTTCTCGAGGTCTGGAGAGTGGCCAGTGTGATGACCTCTAAATGAATCCTGGTGGTTGGGGGTAAGAAAGACGTGATGAATTGTTGGACAGAAGATGGATGGACAGCAGATTTCTTACTATACATAACTCATTTCTAGGGCATATAATCAGATAATTTGATTTCTCCAGGGGAAAAAGGAGAATTGTGTCATCACTTAGGTGAGGCAGTATATTATTTGTGATTTCAAACTACCCATAATTTCATTGCAAGAGAAAACAACTGACCCAGACTTGCATTTAAGTATATATTTTCGGCAATAACCCCATACTGTAGAAACCAGAAGCTTCTGTTCTTCGCCGATGTAGAATGAGGCTGTGTTTTCTTCTCGTGTATCCAGTAGTTACTGAGCGCGCACCCCGAGCTTATGGGTAGATAACTTAGCAGAAATGAAGTGAAGAGGTGGTCCCTGCCCGCTGACTGGTAGAAGAGAATACACTCACAGTACTCCACTCCTTATAAAGCAAGACATGAAATCATTGGAGAGATAATTGATTCAAATTCAACCCCAGAGGGTGGAGGATGGACTTGAGGTCTGCAGAGGCCTAGAGAATAGGAAGGAAGGAATTCTTCTCTTTGTTTCTTTTCTTTTTTTAAACGTAGGAACAGTGCCCACCAACATGAATGAGTAGTTGACTCTTAGCATTTACGGTAACTGGGCTTCAATCAAAATGCGAATTTCTTTGTACCACTTTGGGGGTTTAAAACAACCACAGTCTTGGGGGCGGTTAGGACAGGTTCTGTACCCTCTCTTATTTTGATTTGACTCACAGACATTCACTAATGAGCTCTTCTAAACAGCTGATTTGCATTATAGCATGGCAGCATTTGTTAAGTAGGGCTTCCCACTCTACCAGGTCTGCCAGCTGGCACCAGAAAAGAAAGAGAAGAGACACAGAGTGGTATTCAGGCTTTTGCCATCTTGTCCTTGCTAACCGGGGAGGTCCTTGTCAATGTGGTTTTCTGAGTAGCAAGCCCACGTGGGGAGAGAGGGGGAGCTGGCTGTGACTCCCTTATGACTGGGCGCTGAAGAGCTGCTGATGGAAAAGCACTTGGAGAGTACAAAGCACTCTTGTTTCATGAAAAAAGCCTCTGCAGCCAAAATCTGCTGAAAGCTTTGGGGAAATTGAAGGTGGTTTTCTCTGAAATGTCTTCCTCCTAACCACGTTGCTCTTTCTTGTTCCAGAAACCAGGGAAGTGGTGTGCTATGCATGTTCACATCGCCTGGCAGATTTACCACCACCAACAGAAAGTCAAGGTCAGTCCGACCTTCCTGGTATAGGAAGAATGGGATGGGCATGTGAGTGTGTGATGTGCTCGGGAGAACCTGATTAACGAGGCATTTAAAATACATCTTACAGACCCATAGTTAGGAAGGATCAAGCCCCTCTTGGAAAAGCTACTCGGAAGTCTTAACTTTTTTTTTTCCCCCCCTAGAGTCAGGGTCTCATTCTGTTGCCCAGGCTGGAGTACAGGGGGACAGTCATAGCTCACCACAGCCTTGAACTCCTGGGCTCATGTCATCCTCCCACCTCAGTCTCCCAAGCAGCTGGGACTTTAGGCATATACCACCATACTTGGCTAATTTCTTGATTGTTTTTATAGAGATGGGGTGTCTCACTGTGTTGCCCAGGCTGGTCTCAGACTCCCGGCCCCAAGCAATTCTCCCGCCTCAGCCTCCCAAGTAGCTGGGATTACAGTGCAAGCCACAGCAGCCAGCTCAGAAATCTATTAATTAGGGAAACCACCAGTGAAATTACAAAACAAAGCAAACAGATAATGCCCTGGGGTTCCCCTTTTTTATAATTTTGTCATTTTATTGATCCAAAGGGCTTGAATATGAATTAAATGCTAAAATAAAGCTTTTGGAAATAAAATTATAGTGACCAAAAATTAGAATATAGAAAATACTTTGCATCTCGGAAGAGCTACACGGGTTTGGGTTTTTGTAAAAATAGTGACTGCTGCATTCTTTTCATTTTTTGGCTGTGGGAAAACGTTAGAGTTACGTATGCCCTATATGAAGATGATGCCACTGAACCGTCATTGGTCCTGTTGATGGTCAGTGCCGGGGGCTGGAATACAGTCAGGACTTGCAGGAGCCGCGTTCTGGCCAGTTACCTCGCTGTCCAAAGACGGTTTTTCCTTTTCGTCTGTATTTTCATCATAGGGATGAATATATTCCATGTTCTGCTAGAGCCTTTATGACTCAGAAGGGGAGAGACCGAGAACTTCTGCAAGTCCCTGGATACAGCATCAGCGCTTCGCTTAGGGAGCAAAGTAACTGACAAGTCTGTATTTTACAGTCTGGGTATTTACAGGCTATGTTACGATACCCGTAAAAACAGGAGCAAACAAGCAATCAGATAACTCCAATAAGCTTCACTTAATCCATTTCTTCACGAACAAGCTTTTAGTCCTACCAGCATTTGGGAGCTCTCATGAAAGAAATACAGGAGACCAGTGAGCCAGAAGATAGCACTCTTCATCACAGAAGAGAAATGTTTTTAAAAGGGTTATATGATTTTTAAAATAAAACAACCCAAGTTGCAGCCTCCCCAGAGGCTGAGGCAGGAGAACCCCTTGAGCCTGGGAGTTTCGTCCAGCCTGGGCAACATAGCAAGATCCCATTTCTTTAAAAAAAATGAATACATAAAAAATAAAACAACCCAGTTAAAAGTTAAGATGCAAACCTCATTCAATGAGGTCATTAAGATAGTTTGCTTTGGTTGTCAGGTACCTGCTCTTTCTTATAACATGCCAGCAGTGAGTTTGGCTCACTTGTACTTATCGTTAGGGGAAGTTTAATTGGAAGTCTTGTGGTCTATCCTAGAAAATGTGTATGCTTTGAAGAGCTAACTAGATTTTGATGATTAGTTCAATTCAGTTTTTGTTCTGGTTGATGTGGTTAGTGGAACGGTAGGTAAAGCACATCTTCCTTGTAACTTCTTTGGTTAAAAGCGATGAGGGATGTCGCACGTGCCACTTTAGCAACTTCTTTCCCATAAAAGTGTCCCCAGTGACTTAAACTTTCATTATCCCAATTCAATTAGAAAGACCTCTTGAACATGAGATAACTTCGTTCATCTTCCCTTTTCAGCAAACTGCTTGTAATCCCCAAGCTCCATTTTGCTTCATGGCCCTAAGTTGTGGTTAATGGAACTGTGCTATGTACCATGCAATATTAGCACTAAATAATTTGGCCACCAAATTAAAGGAGGTCCTCAAAAGAATTGTATAGATTCATAGTGAATTAGAAGCTTGGTTTTGAGGCTTGGCTATGACTTGATAGCGGGACTTTCATTATAGCATTCCCTGTAGATTTGAGCAGAGATTGCATCTTCCCTTTCTCTGTAACATTCCTTTACGCATTCTTTTAGTCGCTTACCCAGTATTTATCGAAAGAGCCTACGCCTGCAAGTTCCTTACTGTGCCGGGCTGGGGGCACGCGTTCTTCCTGGCGTCTAGTTGCTTAGAGTTCAGTAATGAGGATCAGTGTGTGTGTAAACAGTGAGGAAAGTGTGTGTGCTCTCTTAATGGGTGGTGTCAGTTCCAGCTGGAGGTGCACGGGTAGCTTTCGCTTTCAGTGGGGGTGATGGATGAGTGGGACGTTGCCTTCAGCAGTAAGGGAATAGCAGACTTCCCTGTCTCAGACCCTCACGCCATGTTCTGTCAATATAGATGCCCCCTGATGGGGCTTTGCTGTTGTACAACCGGGCAAGGATCCCTCAGGACATGAGACAGATTGAGCTGAGGCTAGAATGGGGCTAAAGGGGCTGAAAACCCAGGAGACTGGATGGGAAAGAGTTCATAGTGAGGGAAAGTGAAGGTCATAGCAAGGGAACGTCAACTGGAAGCTTCAAGTCCCAGGACCCCAGGCCTTGGGAGCAGTGCTTATCCAAGGAGGTGTGAAGCCAGTTCAAAGAGAAAGCTGTCAAGAAACAAGGAGGTGGGGCAGCTTTGAAACCATGCTGATGTGAGGGCCTCCAGCCTAGAGAATGATGCCAGGGGAAGATTGAGATGAAGATTATGAACCCATTTCTGCTGCCTAAGAGGATGGTAGGCAGAAAGATTAGCCTGAGGATGCATAAAGAAGAGGAAACAGAGTGATTTCTGTCCATGATAAGGACTTCACACAAGAGTCTTTTTTTTTTTTTTTTTTTTTTTGGAGACAGCCTCCGTCACAGCAACCTCTGCCTCCCAGGTTCAAGCAATTCTCGTGTCTCAGCCTCCCCAGTAGCTGGGACTGCAGGCACGCACCACCAGGCCCAGCTGATTTTTTGTATTTTAGTAGAGACAGGGTTTCACCATGTTGCCCAGGCTGCTCTTCAACTCCTGAGCTCAGGCAGTCAGCCCGCCTTGGCCTCCCAAAGTGCTGGGATTATGGTTTACTTGTCTGGACGGATCCCCCACCTTCCTCAGGTAATTACAGGTAGAAGGAAGAGATAGGGCCTCTATTAGTTAAATTAATACTCCTACTTTTTCTTTTTTTATTATATACCAATGATCATTTGGAAGCTTATAGACATGCAAATATTTCTGCATAACTTTCAGTTACTAATGAACTGTGATCTATTAGAGTATGGCAAAGAGTCATTAAACAATTAATTTATACAGCAGATTATTCATGCAGAATTCCTAATAAAATGAGCTTTAAGACACCATTATTTTAAATCTTACTAAAATGGGCCTTTACAGCAAAACACTGAACTACTTTGGGAGTGGTGGCAGTCTCCATAAATAGGATATAGTTTTATTTCTCAAGCCATTAACCTTAAAGACCAAACATAGCTGGGTGCGGTGGCTCACACCTGTAATCCTAGCACTTTGGGAGACCAAGGTGGGCGGATCACTTGAGGTCAGGAGTTTGAGACCACTCTGGCCATCATGGTGAAACCCCATATCCACAAAAACTACAAAAATTAACTGGGTGTGCTGGGAGGCACCTGTAATCCCAGCTACTTGGGAAGCTGAGACAGGAGAATCGTTTGAACCTGGGAGGCAGAGGTTGCAGTGAGCCGAGATCACACCAGTGCACTCCAGCCTGGGTGGCAGAGTGAGGGAGACTCCGTCAAAAAAACCCAAAAAAAACCCAGACCAAACACTAGTGTTGTCACTAGACATTTCTGGTATAACAGGCACTACCGGCCTGCAGATCTGACATTTGAGGATGAAATGGTTTTTGGGTAGCTGCTTTCTCTCACAGTGTTTGTAAACTTGAACCCCGAGTGCACCGTTCACAGTCTCCAGCTCCAGCTCTTCACTAACACCTTTCTTCCTTGCTGTTGGCCTCGGGACCCTTACTGTCCCCCTTGCTGTGTAGAAACAGATGCAGTCAGACCCACATAAGCTGGACTTCGGGCTGAAACCTGAGTTCCTGAGCCGCCCTCCAGGCCCCAGTCTCTTTGGAGCCATCCACCACCCCCATGACCTGGCACGGCCTTCAACTTTGTTCTCTGCCGCTGGTGAGTGTGGGTCTGGGTGGGGGAGCAGAGCTGAGAAATGTGGTTCTCAGGTAACTAAATAAATGAGGTTTGGGCTCTGAGCCGCCGCTCAATCACCACCTTCAAAAATACAATTTATGCCAGCTTGCAAGGCAACATCGCAGCACATCCAGCGGGTTGGGAATCTTCATTGATACACTCTTTCATTAAAGGAGGAAGCAGAGATCATCTTTCCCTTCCAGGGATTCACATCGCTTCGGTTCATTATTTGCTTCTATATTAAACCGGTGTAACTCACAAGCATGTCAATTGCTATTGAGAAAGATCAGAAGGCTTGCAAGGGCAGATGGGAAGGAAACAATGCCAGGAATTATAGAAGGATGCGGTCGCCCTTAATATGGTGCCCACAGAGCACTGTAATGTTGCACCAGGATGCTCAGTCATGCTGTGTTTTAAAGTCCTGAGGATAAAGAAAGACGATTAAGGCAGTTGCCAGGAGTGTGGTCTGTGATAAGGGAGGGTGGACCACTCAGTTGCTGGTTTTCTCTGCTACAAAACGTAATACTATTGCCTGGTTGGTTAAAGCGATGGAAGAAATTTAGGAAACGGCATAAACACCCAAGTGACCTGTTCATCAGATCTGTAATTCATTTAACCCCTGAGAATACACACTGTCAAGCGTGCGTGTGGAAGGGGTGAGGTAGAGAGTGACGATTATGCTCATTCCTGCTCCAGGTACAAACAAAAGGCAGCGGCTGTAAGGACTGTGTGGTGGATGAGAACAGCCCTCTTGGTATCAAGGGTTTCTTGTCATTCTGTCTTCTTTAAAGCTTTTTTAAGTGTAATTTCTGGCACATTGAACTCATTCTGCTAATAACTTCATAGCCACTGTGCTAAGTAGAATTTATTCTTCTGGTCGTAAGCGGTCAAGGGGCTCCCCATTTCTGATCCTTACGGGACAAGTCCCTCAGCCATCCTGCCAGCTGCCACCCCAGGCTTTTATCCAAGACTCACTGTGGGTGGACCTCTGGCTCTTCGGTGCAGGAAGAGAGAAGCACCCACACTGCAAGAAATCATCATTATAATAGGCCTTGCTACCAAAGCAAGTGAATCCCCCTGGAGGGTAGATGGAATTTGCTAAGGTCTCAGGTTTTTCTCTGTCAGTGCTGTCTAGGGACATATTTGAAGGCTCTGTTACCATGGCACCTAGGCTCTGAGACAGGGCTACATTCAGAGCGATTTTTGGAGAGAAATAGATTTCTCTCTGGCTTCCATTTGAGCCAAGTGGATGAATTGGCTTCTTTTGCTTCAGTAATTCTGAAACTGCAAGGCACCCCTGGGGGCCCTGGGCTCAGCAAAGCTCTGGTCTTCATTGAAGCATTAATTAGCTTGCGCTACACAGACAGTATGTGGCCAAAATTTTATTTAGCCGACAACACTGCTAATGCCTGATGAATATCCTGGAATATGTTCACTTTGTGGAGGCGGGGTATCATTCTTACACTTCCCAGGTGGAAAATAAGCCAGCATGCAGGACTGGATAGATAACCCCTCAGGTGTTTTCCAATTCTGAGCTACCGGGACTGGGATGATGTTCCTTCTGTGCTGTGTGGCTTCCTCTCCAAACCCAGGCCACAAGACTTTTGCAGCCCAGGAAACAGCAGTCCAAAACATAAATTGAGTTAACAGAGTGCAGACAGCAATGACCCCTACGTTTAATCCATCTTCCTAAAGGAATTTATATTTGTTTATAGGAACTTAGACAAAATGCAAAGGATTATGGAACAGTTATTCCTAAATTCTTTATCCAGGCCCTGTTTATACTTTCATTCTAGAATGTAACCTTCTTTAGCATAAGCAGTATGGGATTCTGCCCAAAATGGTTATTTGGTGAACCTTGTAACTGATGTGTATAACTTGTACATACTTAAGAAATCCAGCCATTTTCATCTTGCTTTTGGGTGCTAATCCCATGATTATAAACTAGAGACTTCTTCAGATGACCTTGGCAAATCTCTCATCTAGGACAAAGCCTGCCTTCCAGGGAGCTAGCCTCCTTAGCTAGTAAGTGGCCTCATAGTAACAAGCCCATTTGGCACCCTAAGCCTTTAGAAATGTCCTTCCCTAATTCACATTTGCACACTCTCTTTCTCTCTCTCCTTCCTTCCTTTCCCGGCTTCCTTCAAGAACAGGAATAGAGGCATCTTCAAGAAATACACATTAGGCAAAATACAGAGTAGAGGAGGAAATGTGGATCAAGAGAAAACTGAAGGAAACCACTAAATTAGACCTGAGCTCCTGGGCAGGCAAAGCAAAAACCTGTGAGTCAGTTATAAGATTTTTAGTGCCCCAAAACAGATGAATCAACTGGCTTTTCCTGGCATTGAAAGTTGAGAGACATCAGAGGACTTCATCTCCTAAAACCTAATGTAACTCACAACAATGAGTTTTATAGAGTTGGGCCTTATAGTATCCTTCGAAGTGGCTGCATGCGAACATATTCTTCAGGAGAAGGGATTCTGCAAGGCCCTGGAGCAGCGCAGCCGAGAACCACGGCTTCAGGACCACCCCTCCTGAGCCAGGGATGATAACGGGCTGGGTGTCTGGAACAGTGTTTCTCAAAGTGAAAACTTGGTCCTCCGAGATACTCACTCTATGAGGAAAGGATTCCGTGAGGAAACGTTCCCCTCTTAGAGAATGAAGGAGCCTATAAGCTTATTAACGGCTCTAAGAAGTCCTTCAGTAAAGAAACTTGGCTTAGCTCTTTTTAATCCAGTATTTCTCCAAATTTACTTGGTTATGAAACCTCCCCTCCTCCCATGACCCAGGGGAGTTATTGCTGTCTTTGTAATACTGTGTGTCATCGGCTTTAAAAAGAAATACCTCTTTTTGGTGGTGGCCAGCCATGCTGGGAAAGTGAAAAAGGGATGACTGATTTTCTGCTTCCAAAAAAAACAACATTTTCTTTTACCCCGTGTCTTGCCTGCAGGGGCCTGGGTGGACTTTAGCCATGACCTCCCTTGAACATTTTTTCTTATGGGGCCCTTAAGCAAGTAGAAGCCGGTTGCATCTTCGAAGTTGGCTTTTTGTAAACTCTGGTTTTGTTACGTTTGACTTAACAGGTGCTGCACACCCAACTGGGACCCCTTTTGGGCCACCTCCTCATCACAGCAACTTCCTCAACCCTGCTGCCCACCTAGGTGAGTCGCCCAAAATCATGGGAACTGAGGTGTGTGCTTCAGGCAACCCTGCTGTGTTTGCCATGCTTCTGCTGCACCTCCAGGCAAACTGGTGGGAGTCCCAGATACCCTGCTTACCACTTCGGCAGGAGATGGTACTCTCTCAGGGGTTTCAATACATGCCATCCAGCTTCCAGATTTCATCTCACACCACATTCTTTGGGTAGTAGAGCTGTGCTCAGCAGTGGCTCTGCCTGAGCTTACCATGGTGCAGTGGGTGAGAGCCATCCCTTGGTATGTCAGGGAATCCCAGTTTACAACAGCCTGTTCCTGCCCATTGGAAGAAGATGGTGAGCTCTTGCCTCGTAGCAAAGGTCACCTCTAGGAAGCGGAAAGAAACACAAGCTGATGTTATGGAGAGGTGCTATTCCACATGTCACTGCCCCGATGAATGAGTCTCTTCCTAGTGAAGGTGCATGCTTTGTGTGGCCTTTGCATATTCGATCCCATCTGCAAAGTGTACAGGCAGATGCAGGCATTGCCTTGCACAACATCAGGGCATATCATAGGCGTGCCTTCAGAGTTTCATCATGGATTCGGATGCCACCTCCTTTCTGTTCTGTTAGAACCTGCAGAGCGCACTCCTGGCAGAGGCGAGACTGGGCAGGAAGGCAAGTTGTACACCCTGGCTTGAGTAGTGTCCCCGTGGAGCAAAGGAAGAGTAATGCAAATGCACAGTTGTGGAATTAGAGCCCTCAGAAAGATTTTGCTAACCCAGTGCCTAAATCCAAGTGTAATGAAAATCTTTTATACCATCCGGTAGGAGAAGTGGGACAGGCCAGGTGGGGGTGTAGAGAGGGCAGGGATCCCACATCGCCCTGCTCCCAGGAAGTTCTGGGTTCCTCTCTCAGCAGAGCCCCTGACCATTTCCTTCTTCCCCATCTTGTTTGCAGAGCCTTTTAATCGGCCGTCTACATTCACAGGCCTAGCAGCCGTTGGTGGCAATGCCTTCGGGGGACTTGGAAATCCTTCCGTCAGTGAGTACCTCTAACTTTTAAAAATCTGCCTTGGACTTTTTATCTCCTGTGATCCGCATATGGCTCAAGACCTTTCCAGAGAAAAGGAAAACTATGCTCTGGGGGGGACCAGTGTAGGTTATATCACTGCAAAAGCAGGCCTTCACAGTGGGGTGAGGTGGAAGCGTGCAGAGCCACCGCTGTGAGGGCGGCCCCCTGTGGCTCTCCAGTTCTGAGGGGCAAGAACGGCTGTGTCATTGATGACCACAGAGAGTTTACTCAGGTTCAGAGTTTCATCCACATCCCATCTCTGCTCTCCAATATTTTGGCTGCAACTCACATTAGAAATGAAAGCAGTAGTTACATTTCATCTTGCCCGTGGCATTCATGGAATTGAAAAAAGCACAATGAAAAATAGCAGTAAGACAGCACCAGGCTTGGGATCATCAAGATTTGGCAACATTTTATTCTCCATCATCTAGGAGGACTTTGCAGTTTTCTACTATTAAAAAAGCCCATCTCGATTAGGAGAAGAATTACAACCCCATCTCACGTTCTAAACATTAGTATTTAGTCGCTGGATATGCAAATTATTTTCTTTCATGCCACATACCATATATTCCGGGTACAGGAAGAGCTAAACCATGTCTCTAAGCATACCGTCACAGGTTGATCTTTATTTAAAATACATCAAGGAGACCGGTGTGTCTGTTGAGGGCAAGGTCCTATCTGGTCTCTGGTGACACTTGAGAGGGCCGTGGTGGGTAGAGGAGACGGTGACTTCTACTCTGAATTAATTTAGAGTTATTAATCCAAATCCCACCATCATAACACACCCTCTGCATGCCTGGAACTTATGCATGCACCAGATACGTTGAATTAGGTTATCTCAATACCCATTTGGTCCCTTTTCCTTTTTAATTTCCCCTGCCCCCACCTTTGCTTTTGGTTTTAAAAAGAAAAAGAAAGCTGTGAGCTACCTCTCCAGTGTAGGACAAGACTTCCTCTAATGAATTTGTTAATCTCCTTTCCTTTTCCAGCTCCCAATAATATGTATTCATTTTAACTCTGAATGCTGTTAAAAGTTTTTTGGTAAGTACCTTCATTACAGCAGATTATATAATTTCTCTTAAACCTTTTTGTTCTCCACTTCACCATTTCAGCACCCAACTCAATGTTCGGCCACAAGGATGGCCCCAGTGTGCAGAACTTTAGCAACCCTCACGAACCCTGGAACCGGCTGCACCGAACGCCTCCGTCGTTCCCGACCCCTCCGCCCTGGCTGAAGCCAGGGGAGCTGGAGCGCAGCGCGTCCGCTGCAGCTCATGACAGAGATAGAGATGTAGATAAACGAGACTCATCTGTTAGTAAAGATGACAAAGAAAGGTACGGAAAGAAACCGCTCTCGAGTCCCCACGGGGGAGCCTGCTCTGTGCCAAGTACCAGTGGAACCGGCCGCCCACCCTCCCTGTCCCAGCCTCGTGCTTTAGCCACCCCGGTATCCTCAGCTCATCCCCACAGCCAGTGCCCGCAGCCCCTCGCAGTCCCCATGGCCCGTAGCATATGGTGACAGTAGGAGATAGCAGAGCTAGCAACAGATTCCTGTCTCAGTCGCAGTTACACATCAGCACGTCCTAAGACCCCGTTAGCGTGTCCAAACAGAAGTCTTTCTCTAGAAGACAGGGAGTTGGAGCTTTGGGCCAGACACACACAGCATGAATCAATTCCATATTTGCTTTCAAGTCCGTGCAGTCCATTAAACCATCCATAGGTTTTTCTCGCTCTTTTCTTCTTTTTGTTTTCTTTTAGAAAGCCATGTTTGCATTGCCTCATCATATTTTTCTCAAATTTTGTTCAAACTCAAAGCCTGGGGCTCACAGATGACTAATACGATTTTACTCACCTAGATGTAGAGAAACGTCGACAAGCAGTTTTGGTTTGGTTTTGGTTTCACTCGTGGATAATTTTGTTAACAGTTGTCTCTGCACTTGGTAACCCATGCCTAGAAAAAAAGGTAGTGTTAAAGAGGGAGGGTCTTGCAGTATTTTTTTCCAAAGAATATCATACGCATTCTTGACAAAATGTCTCCTTTTTTCTTTCTTTAGGCTATTTTCAGTTTAAATGAACTGATAAGGAATGCACAAATATGCCTGACAGAAAATACCTAATCCCAATTTCCTTGCAGTACTTAAGATTCAAATTTGATCCAAATCTTTAATGTTTCTTTTCTTTGTATACCGTGTATGTATGTGTGTGTGTGTATATCCTAGTAATTTCAAAGAATTCAGCTTTGCAGGCTCTGAATGCGGCAGATTAGTAGATACTCATCAGAGGCCATTATGCTGACTGATAAAAGAAAAAGACAAATTTTCCTTCAAGGCAGTATGATAACAGTCTCTTAACCACTGGGAGGAACGTTTCTGACATTCAGTTCTGAGCTGTGAACTGCCGAAATGAGGCACGCCTAGCAACCTAATGTGGCTGACCCTAGGCCGCCAGCTCTCCGTACACAGCCTGTCACTAGGTGCAATGCAGCATGTGGCCACCAGCCCTTTGCGTGTTTCTCTGGATGGCGTCAAAATGGCCTCTTGGATTAAAGTCAGGAAGCTTAATAAATAAAATGTACTCCTCTTCCATACTTCCCTTAAAAGTTACTCTTCTTCTCTGCATGTGGGCAGGAAACAGCCCTTATACGGGAGCCTTCTGAATTCTCTCACTGTGGTCCTCTGATCCTTGCACACCAGCACCAAGCCAGCGTGGCAGGCTGCCGCTCTCCTCAACTTTGCCGTATCTGTCTTGGCGCCATCTGTAAGATTTGCCTGGTCTTAGTTTTAACTCAAGTTTTACCTTATTGTCTTTCTATTTGTTTTTGCATTTTCTGCCCAATACTCTTGAGCCCCATCCAAGACAGGTCTCTAAACTTCTTGTCTGGCATTTTCACTCACAGCTGCTCTCTAAAATTGTTTTCGATGTCCTCACGAGGTTTTGTGTTTAGGGACATGCTTTTCCTACTGCCTTCCCTCCGTCTTCTCATCAGACTTTGGCTTTCTTATCCCATCTGGTGCACAAGTGCTCTTTGCAACCCAAAAGTCCTCCAGCTGTGGCTTCCTTTTGAGCCTCTCTCACATGCTGTGTCTTGGAGATGGCTCCATATCCACGTTCTTTGCTCTGAAACTGGTCACTTGTCCTTGTAAGGAGCAAGAGACTTCTGTGACACTGACGTTGAACCCTTCCTTCCACTGGCTCTGTGTTGCAAAGTTGGAAGAAAAGTGATACTTGGCGGGCGTTGGGCTCTTAAAACGTGATTCTTAACACTAGACAATCCCGAGCGTCCAGACAGTGGGGCTGGATTGCCGCATCACTGCCTTATTGACCGCATGCAGCCATCTTGGCTTCCTGGAAGCTCTTCTGTGCTCTTGGTTGAGGCTCTTACATGCAGAGAGATTCTTGCTCCCGGCAGACTTCCCCTCACCCTCATCCCTGGTCCGTCTCCCCCATTCAGCTTCCTCTAAAATCTAGGTAAGTAGGATGAGGGTGGCTGGCTCTGCCCTGCCCAGGGCATGGCCGCTGCCTTGGTGACCATGGGAAGCAGCCCCCAGCCTGTCCTCTTCACACCACCATTTCACCCGCAGCCCCTGGCCCGGCCGACTCGCCGGTTTCATTTCATCTGCGTCCTTGTCTTCCCCTCTCTCCCCCAGGGAAAGCGTCGAGAAGAGACACTCCAGCCACCCTTCACCAGCACCTATCCTCCCGGTGAATGCCCTGGGACATACCCGCAGCTCCACTGACCAGATCCGGGCTCATCTGAACACTGAGGCTCGGGAGAAGGACAAACCCAAAGAGAGGGAGAGAGACCACTCGGAATCCCGCAAGGACCTGGCCGCCGACGAGCACAAGGCGAAAGAGGGCCACCTGCCCGAGAAGGACGGGCACGGCCACGAGGGGCGCGCCGCGGGCGAAGAGGCCAAGCAGCTGGCCCGGGTGCCGTCTCCCTACGTGCGGACCCCGGTGGTGGAGAGTGCCAGGCCCAACAGCACCTCGAGCCGGGAGGCCGAGCCGCGCAAGGGTGAGCCGGCCTACGAGAACCCCAAGAAGAGCTCCGAGGTCAAGGTGAAGGAGGAGCGGAAGGAAGACCACGACCTGCCTCCAGAGGCCCCGCAGACCCACCGGGCCTCAGAGCCGCCGCCTCCCAACTCCTCGTCCAGCGTGCACCCGGGGCCCCTGGCCTCGATGCCCATGACGGTGGGGGTGACGGGCATTCACCCTATGAACAGCATCAGCAGCCTGGACAGGACTCGCATGATGACCCCCTTCATGGGCATCAGCCCCCTCCCGGGCGGAGAGCGCTTCCCGTACCCTTCTTTCCACTGGGACCCCATCCGAGACCCCTTGAGGGATCCTTACCGAGAACTTGACATTCACCGGAGAGACCCGCTGGGCAGGGACTTTCTGCTAAGGAACGACCCGCTCCACCGGCTCTCGACTCCCCGGCTGTACGAAGCCGACCGCTCCTTCAGGGACCGGGAGCCTCACGACTACAGCCACCACCACCACCACCACCACCACCCACTGTCTGTGGACCCTCGGCGGGAGCACGAGCGGGGAGGTCACCTGGACGAGCGGGAGCGCTTGCACATGCTCAGAGAAGACTACGAGCACACGCGGCTCCACTCCGTGCACCCCGCCTCCCTCGACGGACACCTCCCCCACCCCAGCCTCATCACCCCGGGACTCCCCAGCATGCACTATCCCCGCATCAGCCCCACCGCGGGCCACCAGAACGGACTCCTCAACAAGACCCCTCCGACAGCAGCGCTGAGCGCACCTCCCCCGCTCATCTCCACGCTGGGGGGCCGCCCGGTCTCTCCCAGAAGGACGACTCCTCTGTCCGCAGAGATAAGGGAGAGGCCCCCTTCCCACACGCTGAAGGATATCGAGGCCCGATAAGCCGAGAACAGGAGCACGAATGAGGAAGAAGCAGCCCTAGGCAGACACCAGGCCAGACTTGAGAGACAGAACTCCTGCACGGCTCACATAGACTGCGGGGGCGGGGAAGCCCCACCTCTTCCCCTTGTAAAAAATGTATAGACTCTGCACATTTTGAAATGTTTTGTATATTATATGTTGAGATTTTTCAGATCTTTTAGCCCAGTCATATGTTCTCACGTCTCCTACTTTTTCTTTCTCGTATAAAACTTTTTGATTTGAACCAAAACAGTGAAGATGACAACACACACCAATTGGATGGTAATTTTGGGGGGGCGGGGGGGAGAAGTCCACGCCATCCATCATGCAGAATTCTTTCAGATGAGGTGGGAAGACAGACAGTGTACATAGTTATGTAAAAAGAGATTGCTTCATGAGCTAATGGTTCATATATGCAAAAGGGTAAGATGAAAGCTTTACTTTGTACAAATGTAAATAGATAAAGATTAAGTAACATAATACATTAATACTTCTTACAATGTGCTACTTGCAAACTTACTTAATATCAGTGAACACAGTCGGCTAAGGCTGTGTTCCCATATATTGTTATAGACAGCTAAACCCTTCAACTATGCAATGAATGTTCGGGCTTTTCACAAAAGCCCGCCTAACTCAAAGGAGCCTTTTCAAATCCATTTACAACATACTTAAGGTCATATTTTCCCTGAACAAGCGCTTACGTGATATGACTCTGTTTTCCTTGCTTGTTTTTTTTCAAACGGAGAAACATCCTATTTTGCAAATTGGACCCCAGGCTGGAACTTAGCATCTGAAGTTGCCGCTTGTGGGCTCTGGGGAAAAGTGCAGCCCCAGAGAGGTAACTGAGGACATGAGCAACCGGTGCCAGGGAGGGTGGGATTCGCCAGATGCCAAAATCAGGGGACGGGTGGTGGTGTCTGTCAGACACACACAGGTCGCCAGTGACTTCACACACACCTCATGTGAGAACCATGCCTTTTTTAGTGTGTCCTATTTCATACCTGTACACACTTCCTCGTTTTGTAATGAGATTTACTTACACCCAAACAGATCCTGAAAGAAAGCTTCAAGTTTTCTCAGATGATGGATATGTTTTCACTGTATTCAATAACTGACCGATGTAAGGTGCACGTTTCCTGATGTGACGCACTGTATTCCAGCTGGTGATCAAGTCTGGGAATAGCCGTAACAGGTCAACCTTGTGGAGCCATCGCGAGTTAGAGGGTGAAAGATGGCAGAAAAAAAGTCTTGTGTGTGAGTGTGTTTTTTGAGTTTGCATCAATCTTAATGTCTCTTCATAATACTTTTATAATACATTAAGCCTCTTGTCTACATACTTGGAGAGAATATGACTTTACTAGCAGAGAAATACAATATATCTTGTCTACTGGACTGTAAAATATATGTATGAAATAAAATTAGTTCCATTTGGTCTTCTAGTATATTAAAGTGCTATCTGACGTTGTTATCCTGTTTTTGCAAAAAAAAAAAAAAAAGTTAACTACAGACCATTGTTTCTAATAAGCAGAGAGATCTATTTTAGTAGTAAACTGAAGGTTTAGTTGTGAGCTTCAGATTTTGTGAACTCCAGATGTTGTGCGGTGTTTTTTTTTTTTTGTTATTTTGTTTTTTTGTTTTTTTTTTTTTTTAAAGACAACAACTAAAAAAAAAAAAAAAATCCAAGGAATATGTACACTGGAACTGTAGTGGTAGCTTTCAGTATTGTAAAGAGATTGTTCTATACGGACCTTTTTGCTGTTTATCCTGTATGTAATAAAGTCCTTTCTAGATCCTATGTGAAAAGAAAAGTGAAGCAACTGAATCTTCAGCATGTTCTCATCGGCGGAGCCTTCTTGTGTAATGTAAACTGTGCCATGTTATTAAAAAATGTGAACTAAGCTTCCAACTGCTTGTTTGTGTGAGGTGACCCTCATTACCTTAGGGAAGAAGCCATCCCTGTACAAGACCGGGCTCGTGAAAAGAAATACCTCGAACCCAGCCTGCGTGAGAACAGAAGGCTCACCTGCCGTGGCTGACCACCCTACCCAACTCGGTTAGTGTCTCACCAATTCATTACTGTAAACATTTGCACCCCACACAGTTGCTTGTGGTTGGTGGTTTTTGTTTTTTGTTTGTTTGTTTTTCCGGGGGGGTGTTCTGTTCATTTTTTGTATGTCCAAAATGCTGTAAAAGTCAGGTACTTCTGGATTTTATAGACGTTTGTACCGTGTGGGCCACGTTAGCCAGTTCTGTTTGTGCCTCTGAGCTACTTCAAAAGTCAGCGAAAGTGTTTGCTTTTCCAGCAGTGATGAGAAATCTGACCCAGGGCCTGTGACAACAGGTTTTGCTTGCTCATTCCATTGTATTTCAATATCTATGGACTCAGTCAGTCTTATGTTACTTAAGACCTTCCAGGTTTTTTTTTTTTTTTCCTGTCTTGGCTTTTTCTCTCTTTTAATTATATGGTGTAGTCCTCATCAGTTTGCAGTCTCCCTGTCCTCTAAAATCTTTTTTTTTTCCATGATGTAAAAAAAAAATTGTTAAATTTTCTTGTATCAACCTGATGACATTGCTATTTGGATGAGATTGTTTGCATGGGTGTTTGTATGTTACTAGGGAAAAAGCAAAAGCAGTTCCAGTTAGCAAGATCTGGGTAGCTGCTGAATGGGAATCAGATAGAAATGTTCAGAAATTGTGGAGCGGGGGCAGGTCTGTGGCTGGCGAGTGCTGTGGACTCCTGTGGTTTCACAGGGGCATCTGAGAAGTGCGTCCAAAGCCCTGGAAAAGTCAGTCCAGGGTGAGAAAAGGGCACTGAGAAGACGGTCCAGTTGCAGACATCCGCTAATCTGGGCAGAGCAGGGACTTCTTGAATAAAAGCCCATTTCACTCAGCCCTGTTTTCCTATGTTAATACCTGACTCCAAACTGGACAAAATAAGGAAGAAAAACCCAGTGGATTGGAAAACAAGATAAACACTGTGTTTTTCCAATTCAGGCACTTCTCAGGACCCTGCAGACAGTAGCAGTGGCGCCTTGCTTTGCTATTTTTCACTGCTGCAATTGTACACGTATTTTGACGTCGCCATCTGCCATGTCAGAACATAGGAGAGTCAAACTCTCAAATCAGCCACGGTATTTAATCCCCAGGGCTTCATTCATCTCACCCTTTGCATATTTTCCCCCTAATTACGCCCAGCTCCTTGGCACTGATGGGGACCAGCACCAATTTGATTTCCTGCTAACCTATAGATACTCTAATTATCTCCCCCATCTTTGACTGACAATGATCTTGTTACCTTCTAATGGTACATGACAGGTAAAATAGCGAATATAATGATGCAATAATTACCACTTTGGATGGATATTTGCCACAGCATTTGCTGTTTATCCATTTTTCTGCCTCAATCAAGGTAGATGAGGGGAAATAAGATGCATTCTTTACATATGTAGCATAAAAAGAAGTTGAAGCATCAAATCAGTTGAAGGAAAGAGGACAACAAATGTAACCTGGGCTTTTTCATATGTTTTTAAAATTCTGCCATCTCTTCTGTGCATTCCTAATTTTTTTTTTTTTTTTTTTTTTTTTTTTTTTGATACTGAGTCTTGTTCTGTTCCCTAGGCTAGAGTGCAGTGGCACAATCATGACTCACTGCAGCCTCCACCTCCCGGGTTCAAGTGATTCTCGTGCCTCAGTCTCCCGCGTAGCTGGGACTACAGGCGCCCGCCACCACGCCCAGCTAATTTTGGTATTTTTGTTAGAGACAGGGTTTCACCATGTTGGCCAGGCTGGTCTCAAACTCCTGGCCTCAAGTGATCTTCCTGCCTCGGCCCCCCCAAAGTGCTGGAATTTCAGGTGTGAGCCACTGCACCTGGCCTGAAAAATTCTTAAACACGCAAAGTTTTCTTGCAATAAAATAGATAATATAATTTCCCTATCTGGAAAATAACCCTAAGACTGTCAGTTCCACAATATGAAATTGCTAGTCTTTGCCACTGTCACAGGTACTAAGCTAAGGTTTTTGTATCTCACGCCCAAAATGCTACAAGTTTCTGATGATGAGCTTGGTGGGAAGGAGTCCTTGGGCTGCAGTCATGAGGGCTGAATCCACCCTTGTGCCTTCACATTCACTGACCCCATGCACAAGAGCTTCTTTGGAACTCAGTTTCTTAATGTGTAAAATGACACAATCTGAAAAAAATGAAGCATAAAACCATGAAGGTCGTAAGCCCAAACTTCATCAGCATGGCATGGATGGAATTTTGCTGTGTGCAGTCCCAGGGTTTGTAGAAATTGTGGACTGGGTAGAGAATGGCCCACAGCCCACACAACAAGGAAAATAACTTTTTCTAAAACTTTAGTGGCAGCCAGGCAGGGTGGCTCACGCATGTAATCCCAGCACTTTGGGAGGCCGAGGCGGGTGGATCACTTGAGGTCAGCAGTTCGAGATCAGCCTGGCCAATATGGTAAAACCCCATTTCTACTAAAAATACAAAAATTAGTTGGGCATGGTGGCAGGCGCCTGTAATCTCAGCTACTTAGGAGGCTGAAGCAGGAGAATCACTTGAACCCGGGGAGACGAGGCTGCAGTGAGCCAAGATCGCACCACTACACTCCAGCCTGGGCAACAGAGCGAAACCCTGTCTCAAAAACCAGCAAGGCCGGGCACGGTGGCTCACGCCTGTTATCCCAGCACTTTGGGAGGCCAAGGCAGGCGAATCACAAGGTCAGGAGTTCAAGACCAGCCTGGCCAACATGGTGAGACTCCGTCTCTACTAAAAATACAAAAAATTAGATGGGCGTAGTGGCGGGTGCCTGTAATCCCAACTAATCCGGAGGCTGAGGCACGAGAATCACTTGAACCTGGGAGGCGGAGGTTGCAGTGAGCTGAGATCAGAGCCACTACACTCCAGCCCAGTGACAGGGTGAGACTCTGTCTAAAACAAACAACAACAAAAAACTTTAGTGGCTAAAGATTTGCTGAAATCTTTGGCGAGTCCACAAGGAGTGAGTGGGTGATGACGGGGCTTCTAACTCACAGCTGTTTCTCACCTGGTAAGGGGAGGGGCGGATTAAAACAGCATCTGGTTAAGGCACCCAGGGTATTGTCAGAATGGCGACCTGCTGTTCTACCCAAAATGTGCCCTGATGCTGACAGACACAAGATGAAGCTTAGCCTCTGGGCCCGTGTTCAGAGAACTCTGGCCTGGAAGAACAGAGGCCGGATCAGAAGCCTTCAAATCCTGGCCTTGTGTGCTATGCAGTTATTGGGCGAATAGGCGTTAGTTTCCTCATCTGTAAGTTGAATTTGTTGGGTGATGTTGAAAACCCTCTTCAAGCTCTGTTTGGATTTTGAATTTTGTGTCTCTGTTCAGCCTCAGATTTTTTTTTTTTTTTAAGGAGACAAGATCTCACTCTGTCACCCGGGCTGGAATGCACTGAGGCCTTCATAGCTCACTGTAGCCTCCAAATTCTGGACTCCAGGGGTCCCCCCACCTCAGCCTCTTGACTGACTGCATCTACAGGTGCACACCCCCACACCTGGCTCATTCTTTTATTTTTTGTAGAGACTGGGTTTCACTGTGTTGACCAGGCTGGTCTTGAACTCCTGGCCCCAAGTGATCCTCCCTCCTCAGCTTCCCAAAGTGCTTGGATTGCAGGTGTGAGCCACTGTACCTGGCCCCCACCTTATTTATTTATTTATTTATTTATTTATTTATTTTTGAGATTCTGCCATCTTTTCTGTCCATTCCTGATTTTTTTTTTTTTTTTAAGACTGAATCTTGTTCTGTTCCCTAGGTTGGAGTGCAGTGGCACGATCACAACTCACTGCAGCCTCCACCTCCTGGGTTCAAGTGATTCTCGTGCCTCAGTCTCCCGCGTAGCTGGGACTACAGGCACCTGCCACCACGCCCAGCTAATTACACAGACTTGTAATTAGTACCCAGGCTGGAGTGCACTGGCACAATCATAGCTCAGTGCAGCCTCAAACTTGAACAAGGAGACTGAAAACTAAATTTAGAAAAACCTTTGAGGGCCAGGGAATAAGAGTTTTCCTTGCAAGGACTTCAAACTTTGTCCTGTGAGCAATTGAGAACTTCTCAAATTTCTGCAAGTAAAGTTTTAGGGAGATTTGGAGATTTTGAGATTTATTTATTTTGGAGCTCTGTCGCCCAGGCTGGAGTGCAGTGACACGATCTTGGTTCCCTGCAACCACCACCTCCCAGGTTCAAGCAAATCTCCTGCCTCAGCCTCCTGAGTAGCTGGGACTACAGGCATGTGCCACCATGCCCAGCTAATTTTTTTTGTATTTTTAGTAGAGACAGGGTTTCACCATGTTGGCCAGGCTGGTCTTGAACTCCTGACCTTGTGATCTGCCTGCCTCGGCCTCCCAAAGTGCTGGGATTACAGTTGTGAGGCACTGCACCTTGCCCTCTCCCCTTTTTAAACCTGATTTACCTTCTCACACCCTGTACTCCAGCAAGGCCAAGTCAGTTGTTACTCCACATGCTTCCTGGCAGCATCTTATCAGCATCTGTCTGCAGTATCTTTTACCTCTTTCCAAAGGCCCTGGTGTCAGAATCTGAGCCACACTAAAGGTCAGCTCAAAGCCATCTCCGTAAATTCCTCCCTCTTTGGGGCCGTCTTAGGGCCTGGGTTGCACCACCCTCCACTCAGCCCTTCCTGTTCTGCAGTTCCACACCTCTCCATCTGGATCCTCAACTCCTGGAGGCAGGGGCCTGTGTTAGATGCTCCAGGGGCCACCCCTGGACTAGTTCACTGAACAGAGTAGGCCTCACAGAGCCCCGTTTTTAATGAACTGCAACCCGCACACATCATCATCCAGACACACACACCTGAAACAAGCTTGATGAAACCATACCCTTCTTATGGGCAGTGAACTCTTTT